TAGAGACAAATATAGCACACAAAAATGCAACAGGGAGGAGAATATAAAAAACAAACAAATAAGATATTTATTAAAGTCCAGCTAACTTAGAATTCCTTTCCCCCAGGCCTATTTTTACCTTGGAGAATGAAATGACACATTGGCTATAAGAACATATAGATGGCTAGGAGCTCCCCAAGGGAGAGAAAAAACTAAGTTTCCGGTAAAGAAACAAAGCAATAAATTGTCCTACAATAATTAAATCACTTCCACAGTGTGCCCAAAAGTTTTCATTGCCAGTACTATTGAAAGGATACTATCCCAAATACTATGTCAACCACTTTATTTATTGCTTTTGCTATTCTTTTTTACCAGTCTGTTTTTATTTTTGTTTATTATATGAGAAATAATTTGCAGATGTTAAGATGAACAAACCTTAAATGCATAGATTGATATTTTCCCCCAATATGTGCACGTGTAAAACCACTATACTTATCAAGTTATAAAATATATCTTTCATGCCAAAAATTTCCCTTGGGCCCCTTTGCCATAAATATTCATCATCAGAACTAATGACTATTTTCATTTCTATCACTAAACATCAGTTTTGTCTATTCTTGAATTTTATTTAAATAAAATTTCACTGTTTGGTTTTGAGTGTCTCCTGCCTAACGTAATATTTTTGAGATGTATCTGTTGTTTTATGTACTAGTTTTAAGGGAATTTTAAATTTATTACTAAGTAGTATTCCACTGCGTGAATGTACTCTAATCCCATTTGGTGTCTACTTCTCAGGTGACCTAAGCTAACATAATTGGTACTGGGAGTGGTCTGAGAAAACAGGTGATAAATGGGGACTTGTGGCTGATTCACTCACCTCCTGGTGGGCAAATAAGACTACATTGTAAATGGTAGAAGGGACACAGGTAGACCCTGGCATGATACAGATGCCTGATTGCTAAAGATTTCACTGGTGATGATTTGGGAAAACATCTTGTTGGAAAGAAATGCTACTGCAGGTGAATAATTCAGTCTTTTGAAAAATACAGGGGAGAAAAATTCCTGCAAGTAGTACAGTTTGCTTATTGCTAAGTTGTATTGGTGCCTGTGTGCCAGGGGCAGGGTCTCCAGTGAGAGTGTGTCCTGAATCTCCTTACCTGGTTTTTCATTCCCATAGGGTGCAGGAGACTTTCAATTAGTTTCTGATTTCTCACCAGGGTAATTTGTCCATGAATTCTTGCTGAACTGATGTGCTTGTGGGAGAAAGGAGAGATTCCTACTCTGCTATGGTGCTGACATCACTCCTACCACCAAGTATTGATGCATGCCGCAAGTGGTTAATCTTGAAAACATTAGGCTAAAGGAGAGAAGCCAAACACAAAAGACCGTATCCTTGTTCCTCTTCTGCCAGACCTAGATAACCATTAATCGACTTTCAGTCTTTAAAGATTGTCCTTTTTTGGACATTTCATACAAAAGGACTCATGCAATATATGGTCCTTAGAGACTCATTTCTTTCACATAGCCTAATTTTTCAAGATTCACCCATGTGGTAGCATGTGTCAGTCCTTGATTCTTTTTCATTGCCGAGTAATATTTCATTATATGAACAAACCACATTTTGTTTATCCATTCATCAGTTGATGACCATTTGGTTTTTTAAAAATTTTTGACTATTATGGTTAAAGCTGCTATAACCATTTATGTACAATTTTTTGGGAGGGATATGTGTTTTTATTTCTTTTGTGTGTATATTTGGAGTGAAATTGTTAGGTCACATGGTAACTCTATGTTTAACATTTTGAAGAGCTGGCAAATTTTTCTCTAAAATCGTTGTACAAATTTACATTACACCAGCAATATATGAAGATTTTAATTGCTCCTTGTTATTGTCTGTCTTTTTTATGATAGTCTTTCTAGTGTGTGTGAAGTAATATCTTACTGTGATTTTGATTTATATTTCCCTAGTGACTAATACTAAGCATCTTTACATGTACTTATTGGCTATTTATATATCTGTTTGGAGACATCTATTTAGATCCTTTGTGCATTTTTAATTGAGTTATTTGCCTTTTTATTCTAGAATTGTAAGAAGTTTTATGTATCTTGGACACAAGACCCTTATCAGATAAATGGTTTATAAATATTTTTTCCCATTCTGTTCATTGTCTTCTCACTGTCTCCTGACTCTCACTTATGCTGTGGTTATTGTTTATTTATCATGTGATTTTTTTATTGTAACTTTTTATTTTTAAAGCTTTATCGTGAGAGTTCAGTGCAACCAGTTCTCAGGGAGCATTTTTTCCAGTGTTTACTCTGCCAAATCCTGAGCCTACACACTTCAATATCAAGTTAAGAGAAAATTCTCTCCTAAATGTAATGGAACATACAAAGAGTGTGATGACAATCCAAATCCTTGTTAGGGAAGCATTTATTTTCATCTGCACCAAGAATCAAATTTGAGATACGCACATGTTTTTTCTGCTTCTGCTTTATTATGCTTTTCTCTTTTTTTTTTATAATTGGATCCCTCAAAAAGGCCTCCCATCAATCTCCATCACTGATCAGGCTCAAAGTGAAATCATGTGGTACTTGTCTTTCTCTGACTGGCTTATTTCACTTAGCATAATACACTCCAACTCCATCCATGTTGTTGCAAAAGGTGAGATTTCCTTTTTTTATATTTATTTTTTGCAGCCAAGTAGTATTCCATTGTGTAAATGTACCAGAGCTTGCTTGCTTGCTTATTTATTTATTTATTTATTTATTTATTTATTTATTTTTGTTCAAAACACTACGGATGTCCCTTTTTCTCCCCATTGACCCATTCCACCCTTCCCCACTCCCCTCCTCAGTCCCTCACTATACCATTGTCCGTGTCCTTGGATTATGCATATATGCATATAAATTCTTTGGTTAAGCTCTCTCCCCTACCCCGCTCCTTCCCTCTGAGATTCATCAATCTGATCTATGCCTTCATGCTACTGAAACTATTCTGTTCATCAGTTTGTTAAGTTCTTTAGATTCCACATATAATGTCCCACAGCTTTTTTATCCACTCATCTACTGATGGGCACGTGGACTAGTTACAGATCTTGGCTATTGCAAATAACGCTGCAATGAACATAGGTGAACTTGCTTTATTTCTTCTCATTCATTTGCCTTGAATTTTTCATGTATTCAATTCTCTTTATTTAATTAAAAGGCTCTAATCCCTGTAATTCAATTACTGAAATATATGAACACCATATGCCCTTGTATACTTTAATATTTTTAACAGATAACATCTCACAGTAAAGGTGTATGAATTTCTTAGTTGTAAGTATAATTGAGTAACATTTTGCTAGAATATAGTTATTTCATCTTTAAAAATTTATTCAGTATGTATCTATAAACTACTGTGCACCAAAATGTATGCTAGATATTGAAGATACGTGGAACTTAGTGCCTAAAAATGAAGCTGACTTTAACATATAACTACACAAGTAATTACTACCATACTTTATACAAAAAATGGAAATTGCAGCATGCTATACATGAGTAAAAAAAAAGATAAACTGGCCAAGGACATATAGGAAAGATGGTCTAAAATGTAATATTTTATCTGGGTCTTACATTCTAAGAAGGAGTTAGCTGGGTGAAGAGGTGGTAGATCATTTCTGGTGAAGGGAACAGCCTGGAAATGGTCCTAGTTAAGATGCTGATGCTTTGAAGAATTCGAAAGAAGGTCAATATGACTCTAACATTATGAAGAAGAGTATATTAAAGCATAATTCCAGGGGTAGGGCATATTATGTAGGCTTTTTAAGGCCAGTTCAGAATATGAACGTGTCTGAATGCCACGAAATAGTTTTAGTCAAGGAAGAAACATTGAGAACTGTATTTTAATGACATCACTCTGGATGCTTGTAGAGAAAGCAATGAATGGAGGAAGAACTTTTCTGGTGGTTTAGGATCAGTTACAAAGCTATTGACTAGAGCATGCAAGTAATGTTTTATCTTGAATCGGGAGAGAAAATTTAAAATTAACAAACCATGAGTCTGGGATTTCCAATTTAGCAGGCACTGTCCCCTTCATTAATGCTCCCAAGCAAATCAGATCTAGCTTGTAATTGCAATAAGGATTACAAGCATGAAAGAGGCAAATTTAACTATAGTCTGACATAAAGCTCTTGGAAAGAAAAAGTTACATTATATATTACATAAAATCAAGATGTGTGCTTCTACTTTTATCTTTGGAGGTTTGAAAGTCGACTGTGTGCCTGGTTAGTGTGGCTCAGTGGTTGAGCGTCGACCTATGATCCAGGAGATCTTGGTTCGGTTCCCTTCAGGGGGCACATGCCCAGGTTTCACTGACTCTCTCTCATCATTGATCTCTCTCTCTCTCTCTGAAATCAATAAAAAATAAAATAAAAACAAAGTCAGCTGTGAATACTTATAATATTTCTGGAAGCATTTGGTTTCAAGTTTGCTCTTTGAAGTTCTATTCAAATTGTTTTCCCATTGTTTTTTCCCCACCTCTGGTATATAATCATTCTAGCATCTTATATTCACTATACTGTTAAATTTAATTATTTATTCTTACTTTTTCTCCCATTGTTCAAGATATTAGAATCATATTTTCCCCATTGTTGGTAACATTATTTCAATCATGACTTGTAATGGTATCTTATTTAATAATAGTATAAGTTTATGAATGTCATTAACAATCCATATCTATTAAAATCATCTCTAATAATATTTACCATATTTTTTTATATTTATTTCTTTACTAGTATATATATATATATTGAATGTCTATGTAAAAGTACTCAATGATTTTGTGTCTGTTTTTGCTGCAGGCTGCTAATCATTGTTATGTGTTATAATTGCATTTGTGAATTATAAATATTTTATTATTAATTTTTTTTGTACTGGTTATGATTTTAACATAAGAAGAATAAAACCATGTATTAATATAATCTATTAAAGTTCTTTTAGCGTAGTACTTGAAAGTAGTGTTAATTATATTGTGCTTAAATTTAGAAGTTCTGTGTAGAGTTAGCAAGTAGGAACCATAATTTTATCATTGCCCCTTGCATTTTCTGATTTCTCAGAGTATAAATAATAGGATTTAGGAAGGGTGTGATAACAGTGTAAAATACAGAAAGGATTTTATTGCCTGCAAAGCTATTGAATGGCCAGGCATAGATAAAGACACAAGGTCCAAAGAACAGAGTGACAACAATGACATGTGCAGACAATGTGGACAGAGCCTTGGAGAGCCCTCCAGGTGATCTTTGCCATACAGTGACCAGGATGACAGTGTAGGAGACAAGCAGGAGGGTGAAACAGATGAGTGAGAGCAGGCCACTGTCAGCAATGACAAATAATTCCAGGGTATATGTTTTGATACAAGCAAGGTTAATCACAAGGGGAAGGTCACAAAATATATTGTCTACAACATTGGGGCCACAGAAAGGCAGGTTCACTGTTAATACCATCTGGCTCATGGTGTGTATAAATCCAATTATCCATGAAAGTATCACAAACCCATTCAGCAACCGGTGGCTCATGATTGCCCTGTAGTGCAGGGGTTTACATATGGCTACGTATCTATCAAAGGCCATGGCTATCAAAAGAGTCATCTCAGCACCCCCAAAGAAGTGCAAAAAGAACATTTGGGTCATGCAGCCCCATATGGAGATGGTCTTGTGTTCAGCGAGCAAGTCTGTGATCATCTTGGGTGTGGTGACAGTGGAGAGACACATGTCCAAAAAGGAGAGGTTTCCAAGTAAGAAGTACATGGGAGAATGAAGGGTGGAGCTAAATGTTACTGTGACTATAATGAGAATGTTTCCCAACACAGTAGCACTGTAGACCAAGGAGAATGTGAGAAAGAAGAAAATCTGAAGTTCCCATTGTCCAGGAAATCCTAGTAAAACAAACTCAGTCACTGCAGATCCATTTTTGAAATCCATTTACTCAGTTCAGCAAAGTAGCAGAAGTTCTTTTATATGAAAGGAATAAAAAAAAATTAAGCCACAGTTAGCACCAATAGTTTTCTATTTCTATTTAATTAATAATAGTTGGTGATATGAGAACATATAATCTTAAACATATCAGCCCATCCCTGTTTATAATTCGAGATTATTTTATGGGTCACATCACTTGGAAACAATATTCTTACAGTTATTCAGTAATTAAAGAGCATTTGGAGAAATGAAATTTTGTTTTCTACTGTATTCTATCAAATAATATTCATCAACTGAGCATGACTTTGTCCCTAATGTGCTCATGTGAAAAAAACAGATAAGTAATTAGATTAGTATTTATTTTGTCTTTTTTTTAATTACAATTTTCTTTATGTGTCACTCCTTGAGATTATGTTATCACAATATATAAGCTATTAGGATTTGGAGATGAGGGACTTGTACTGTCCTATATCTCTGAAGTAATTTGCAAAGGTCATTCTATGGTTCTAAAACAAACAATGTACAAACACAAAATTAGAAACTAATTTATGCAGAGTCTTTGAATTCATTAAAAATAATTTTGCTTTTTAGTTTTGTTGTGTAGTATACTAAGAATTTCAGGAAACATGAGCTTAGCCTCAGATCATTTTTATCTTGTTTTCTCAAGTCTTTGTATTACCATTGTTCACAGGCTTATGTGCATTATGTGTAAGTGTATGCATGTGGCGCTTTAGAAACAAATAGTGAAATAATTCAATCCTAACATATAGATTTTGCCTGGTTGTGATATATCACACTAAATCATCTTTACTCAACGTTTTAGACATTGTTCATAGGATTAGAGTGATCAAAATTGATCAATAACAAGTAGGTGGCTTTTGTGTGCTATGCTCTGTTCTAAGTGTTTCACATACATTGACACATTTAATATTCATAACAACCCCAAGTACTGTTATTTTCCTAATTTTTGCTTATGAGCAAACTATGGCATAGAAGTATTTAATGGCTTACTTATAGATACATAGCTAACAAGGATTAAAGCTGGTATGAAGCCCGGTCACTCTGACACCAGAACCAGGGCTCATACCAATATACCATGTTGCCTCCAAAATTAAAGAAATATATATGTATGGTTAAGTTATTAAATTATTAAATATTTATTGAATTCATACTTCTGCATCAATTCCTTAGGAGATATGATTCAATAGGTATGTTGGAATCCCTATATATTGTAATTAACTGCATTATCTTTCTCTTATACAGAATGAATCAATGCCCTATGGTCTAGAAAGTTTACAATCTAAAGAGACATAATTATCAAACAAAAATGTCAATAAACCATGTAAGAAAATATTAAATTTAGTACAGGGTGTATGCAACATGTAAGAATTTTATTTATTTATTTTTATTTTTTAAAATATATCTTTATTGATTTCAGAGAGAGGAAAGGAGAGGGAGAGAGAGATAGAAACATCAATGATGAGAGAGTCATTGATCGAGCCCGCAACCCGGGCATGTGCCCTGACCGGGAATCGAACCCCCATCACCTGGATCCTAGGTCGAGGCTCAACCACTGAGCCCCGCCCCGCCAGGCAGCAGCATATAAGAATTTTAAAAGAATGGAGACCAATTCCAAGTGACAGCTTCAGATATGGCTTTAGGTTATTATCTTCAAAACATTTTAAAAGTAAAAACAGCCCAGCCAGTGTGGCTCAGCGGTTAAGCACTGGCCTATGATCCAGGAGGTTTGATTCCTGGTCAGGGCACATGCCCTGGTTGCGGGCTCGATTCCCAGCGGGCGACGTGCGGAAGGCAGCCGATCAATGACTCTCATCATTGATGTTTCTCTCTCTCTCCCTCTCCCTCTCCCGTCCTCTCTCCGAAATCAATAGAGACATATTTAAAATTAAAAATTAAAAAATAAAAGTGAAAATACTCCTCACGGTCAGTAAACAAAAAGGACAGGTTTGGAGAACTGGAGAATGCATGAGAATTTATAGGAAGAAAAGAATTAAGAACAGCTACAAGAAGGAGTGATGAATTTAGCAAAGGGACTGAGTTAAGAGGTGAAGGTGCATAGGAATGTCTGTCCTCTTTTCTCCAACAACCTGTAATTCTCACCTTATTTTCATTTCTACTTAGGCCCTTGTCAAAAATATCCTAGCACCGTTATCCAAACTTAATTCCCTCAACTGCTTTCCTTTCTTAGATATTTTAAGAAACAGATAATGCCTATAAATTGGGGAAAATAAAGCTGAAGGTGATGTAGCTCCTGCAGGCCCACCTTCAGGGGTGCGCGCAGTGGATGCTGAATGGACTGCGGGCCTGGAGGAGCACCATCCTGAGAATTTTTCCATGTAAACCTCTTTTAGGGAAGGCACGAGCCAAAACGTGTTTTATTAAGTACTCGGATATGAACATTTCTGCTCTTACTCATGCATTAATATAATATAAATTGTATTAATATAAAAATAATTTATTCAAGTAACTATTTCCTTCCTCTTTCATTATAAGCATTTTAAGAAAATAAACATAATTTGAATCTTGATTGATTTTATGTTTTTCAAAAATTATAAATACTTATGCTAAAATACAGGTGGACCTCAAAAACATTATGCTAAGTAAGTGAAGCCTGGCACAACGGACCACATGTAGTATAAGTTCATTTGGATGAGATGCCTAGGTAACGTGAACTCATAGAGACAGAGGTATAGTGATGGTCGCCTTGAGCTTGGGATTGNTATGAATTCATAGAGACAGAGGTATAGTGATGGTCGCCTTGAGCTTGGGATTGAGTCCAAATGGGCACGAGTTTTCTTTTTGTGATGATAAAGATGATTTAAAATGAGATTGTGGTGATAGTTGCATAACTATGCAAATATAATAATCATTAAAATATGTACTTAAAATGGGTGAATTTTAGACTATGTAAATTTTATTTAATAAAACTTAAACCATTATATACTTTTGCTCTTATTCTTTAGTTAAAATTATTTTTAATATATTAATTTAGTATTTTAAATACAGCTTCCTACTACTATCCAGCTGCTTGTACACAAATATCTTTCACAACAAGACAATCAATGACATGATGCAAATCCAATCTAATCTAGTTTTAAATTTTCTTAGTCCCCTATTTGAATTTATGTTTTGGATTGCTGTATGTATTTGGAAACTTACTATCCTCTGTTTTTGTTAAACAGTATTCTTGATACTTTCCCAACTATTCAAAATACTCAAAATAAATTTCCTGAGTTATTTACATTTCCCTTCATTCCCCTAAATTTGAACATCTTGTAAGGACTTTTCCCTCTTTGTTCCTTTAAGATCTCATTTATATTTATGTTCTAATGGTAAATTTTATACAGGGATTTTCCAAATGTCTAGTTCTGGTCACTAATCTCCCTCACCAGCTCCTTCTCCAACTGTCATTATGATATGCTCATTTACATGTTTTGTCAATACCTGAAACTATGGAAAGAAAAATATTCTTATTCTGCAAAAAAACGTGTTTCTAGCTTTTCCATTATTTTTTGATGATGGTATGAGTTATCTGGATGCTCAGGATTTACTTATCTTAATTTTATTCATCATCCTTAATAACTTACCATCTACTGTTAAATTTTACTCTGCTATATAATTGCGAGATCATATATCCTTTAAATTTTCATAAAAATTGTTGGTTATATCTCATTGTGAAATAGTTATGTTACCTCCTAGTGAGAGAGGATTTGATATCTCAAAAGTCACATCCTTTCCTTCCAGCCAACACAAAATTAATTAAAACACCATCTTCAGTATATTAAACTTCTAATGAATGAACTCTATAATATTTTCTCTTACCTGTTTTAAAGGCACAGTGTGAAGCACAATGTGTTCACAGGATTATTTAATATTGAAAGTCTACCTTTCTCTCTCTCTGTGCTCTGTATATGACTCTGCATACTATTTCCTGCCTCTTTTCTAAAGATGTGATCCACTTTGGAGGCAGATTTTGTGCAGCTCTGGGAATCCAAATTTCAGTGGGAGTTGTTAAAACACTGAGGCTGCTGCCCTCGCGTGTCCAGGAAAATAGGTTTATGCTTAATTTCAGGCCCTGTAATATGCTGTTGTTGTCTCTGGGCATTGGCATGATTAAAACAGGCATGAGAGTACTGGCTGTTTGGTTGTGCTATAGTAAATGTAGACGTGTTTGACTTAACAGGCCCCTCCTCTCCCTCACATTACTCCCAAACTATCATCTCACCTTCCTTCTGACAACTTTGTGGATAATTTTTTAGATGAATAATCTCCAAAAATTTCTGAGCATAACATCCTCAATATAATAATTGTTCTATATATGTTATAAATTCACTGCTAAAAGCATATATTATATACATTAACATATTCAGAAAGTAGAAATTATAAAGAGAGTGTTAAATAATTTAAAATGTGACATTATACATTAATGGTATAATGAACTGTTTTATGCTCACTAAAGTATTAATAACTATTTTTTTATTTAGGTATTTTGCTATGAGACTTTTAGAGAATATCTAGATGGCACAAAATAGTTTCATAATCATTACACCTTTCATTATAAAATATTACAATAAATTTTTGTTTTACAAGATGGTGTTGCTTTTACAAAATTAATCATATTGGTGACTCTGGTGTACTTTGCATCACAGGCTTCAAAGTGTGTTTTAGTAACATGCCAACAAAGGATGTCATGAATGAATTTTAAATTGGTTGACATCTCTGTCACTTACCTCCAAATCTATTTTAAATCCCAGTCAAATTCACCACTTAACCCATGGATTAATGTAGATTTTGTTAGAGACATTGCTTTTATTATGAGTCATTACAGTTGATAAGAAAACATAGGCAGTAAAATCTCAGACATTTTTGGAGCAATATTTTGGCTGATATATTTTCTAGGTCAAGGGAAACAAAGGAAAAAATAAATAGATGGAACTATATCAAACTAAAAACTTCTGCATAGCAAAGGAAATTATCAACAAAAT